CAGGTTAACAGGGGGTCTGCAGACACCAGTTTGTTAATCTTATCAATTACCGTATATACTCGAGTATAAGTCGACCCGAATATAAGTCGAGACCCCTACTTTTAGTGTGTGTATATAATGAATGCAGTGTGTGTGTGTATGAATGCAGTGTGTGTGTGTATGAATACAGAGTGTGTATATAATGAATGCAGTGTGTGTGTGTGTATGAATGCAGTGTGTGTGTGTATGAGGGCAGTGTGTGTGTGTATGAATGCAGTGTGTGTGTGTATGAGGGCAGTGTGTGTGTGTGTATGAATGCAGTGTGTGCGTGTCTGAGTGCAGTGTGTGTATGAGTGCAGTATGTGTGTATGAATGCAGTGTGTGTGTATGAATGCAGTGTGTGTGTATGAGTGCAGTGTGTGTGTATGAGTGCAGTGTGTGTGTATGGATGCAGTGTGTGTATGGATGCAGTGTGTGTGTGTGTGTATGAGTGCAGTGTGTGTGTATGGATGCAGTGTGTGTATGGATGCAGTGTGTGTGTGTGTATGAGTGCAGTGTATGTATGAGTGCAGTGTGTGTGTATGAGTGCAGTGTGTGTGTGTATGAATGCAGTGTGTGTGTATGAATGCAGTGTGTGTGTGTATGAGTGCAGTGTGTGTATGAGTGCAGTGTGTGTATGAATGCAGTGTGTGTGTGTGTGTGTGTATGAGTGCAGTGTGTGTATGAGTGCAGTGTGTGTGTGATGCAGAGTGTGTTTTGTATGTGATACAGAGCCTTGGTGGGGGGCGGGCATTTTTATTATTTTTTTTTAATTATTATTATTATTTTAATATTTTTTTTTTGTTTTATTATTAATATTTTTATTTTAATATTATTTACATTTTTTTCGTCCCCCCTCCCTGCTTGATACATGGCCAGGGAGGGGGGCTCTCATTCCCTGGTGGTCCAGTGGATGGGCTGTGTAGGAAGGGGGCTGGCAGCGAGCTGTAACTTACCTTTCCTGCAGCTCCTGTCAGCTCCCACTGTAAGTCTCGCGGTCTGCGTGCCGCGCTCTGACCACGCAGCTCTCCCGAGACTTACAGTGGAGCTGACAGGGGAGCTGACGAACCGGAGGAGAGTGAAGGGAGCTGACAGGAGCTGCATGAAAGGTAAGTAACTGCTCGCTGCCAGCCCCCAACAGGATCGCTGGGCTTGTAATGAGCCCAGCGGTCCTGGTCTGTATTATGGCAATGTAAGTTGCCATAATACAGACATTGACTCGAGTATAAGATGAGTGGGGGGTTTTCAGCCCCAAAAATGTGCCGAAAAACTCGACTTTTACTCGAGTATATACGGTAATTTCTATTTTAACAGTTTGCTCTCGGCTGCTTTCAGAGATACTGGGTAGAAATGGCAGATTTCTGTATTATCACCTGAAAACAAAGACATTTTGTGAAAGTAATTCTAGAACAGATCGGAGTGTATGCGGTAAAGGTTTTTGCTTGATAAATATGTAAATCCTCCACGTAACCTGTACCATCTTTATTACACAGCCTGGCACTGCCATGTAACCAGTACCATCTTTATTACACTGCCTGGCACTGCCAGGTAACCTATACCATCTTTATTACACAGCCTGGCACTGCCAGGTCCTGTACCATCTTTATTACACAGACTGGTCATCACATGCCCACACCATGTCCCTCCTGGTCATCGCATGCTCACAGTATGTCCCTCCTGGTCAATACATTCCCACAGCATGTCCCTTCTGGTCAATACATTCCCACAGCATGTCCCTCATGGTCATCGCATGCTCACAGTATGTCCTTCCTGGCCATCTTTATTACACAGCCTGGCACTGCCAGGTCCTGTACCATCTTTATTACACTGCCTGGCACTGCCACATAACACATACCCCCTGCATTACACAGCCAGGCACTGCCATGTAACCAATAGCTTTTGCATTACACAGCTTGGCACTGCCATGTGACCTGTATCATCTTTATTACACAGCCTGGCACTGCCAGGTAACCTGTACCATCTTTATTACAAAGCCTGGTACTGCCATGTGACCTGTATTATCGTTATTACACAGTCTGGCACTACCACTCAACACCCCTTGCATTACACAGCCCGGCACTGCCACGTTACCTGTACCATCTTTATTACACAGCCAGGCACTGCCACGTAACCAATAGCCTTTGCATTACACAGCTTGGCACTGCCAGGTAACCTGTACCTTCTTTATTACACATCCTGGTACTGCCACGTGACCTGTATCATCTTTATTACACAGCCTGGCACTGCCAGGTAACCTGTACCATCTTTATTACACAGCCTGGCACTGCCACATATCCCATAGCCTCTGCATTACACAGCCTGGCACTGCCATGTAACTTGTACCATCTTTATTACACAGCCTGGCACAGCAACATGACCTGTATTATCTTTATTACACAGCCTGGCACTGCCACATAACCCGTACCATCTTTATTACACAGCCTGGCACAGCAACATGACCTATATTATCTTTATTACACAGCCTGGTACTGCCACGTGACCTGTATTATCTTTATTACACAGCCTGGTACTGCCACGTGACCAGTATCATCTTTATTACACAGCCTGGCACTGCCACATAACCCGTACCATCTTTATTACACAGCCTGGCACTGCCACATAACCCGTACCATCTTTATTACACAGCCTGGCACTGTCACGTGACCTGTATTATCTTTATTACACAGCCTGGTACTGGCAGGTAACCTGTACCATCGTTATTACACAGCCTGGCACTGCCATGTAACCTGTACCATCGTTATTACATAGCTTGGTAATGCCACATGACCTGTATCATCTTTATTACACAGCCTGGTACTGCCATGTGACCTGTATCATCTTTATTATACAGCCTGGCACTACCACTCAACACCCCTTGGATTACACCGCTTGGCACTGCCATGTAACCCATACCCCTGCATTACACAGCCTGGCACTGCCATGTATCCCAAAGCCTCTGCATTACACAGCCTGGCAATGCCACGTTACCTGTACCATCTTTATTACACAGCCTGGCACAGCAACATGACCTGTATCATCTATGTTACACAGCCTGGCACTGCCATGTAACCCATACCCCTTGCATTACACAGCCTGGCACTGCCATGTAACCCATACCCCCTGCATTATATAGCCTGGCACTGCCATGTTTCCCATAGCCTCTGCATTACACAGCCTGGCACTGCCATGTAACCTGTACCACCTTTATTACACAACCTGGTACTGCCACGTGACCTGTATTATCTTTATTACACAGCCTGGCACTGCCACTCAACACCCCTTGCATAACACAGCCTGGCACTGCCCTGTAACCCATACCCCCTGCATTACACAGCCTGGCACTGCCATATAACACATACCCCCTTCCTACAGAGAAAGCACCATGTAAAATGCCAAACTGGGGGGAAATGGTTATTTATGGTAATTGAAGATACCGAATAAATTGCCGGTTACATGGTTTTCCCAGACCATCACCCAGAATATAGCAGGATTCCTTTTATATGAATAAAACTGATATTAATAATATTCTATAATTATGATAAAAGTTTAGAACAGTTTTAGCTGAAGAATGTGAATTGTGATATTTAGACACTTCATTGATAGGTTTAATGGCTTTTAGATAACAACAGTTTGTTGTTTTTCAGTTTCATGTATAAACGCATGTTTTTTAAATCTGTTTATTATTTAGTCAGTTAAAAACAGGAAATACAGTGACAGCGGGAAGCTCAGAGAGAGGGGAACACAGATAACAGAACAGGATTATTGTTACTGTAACCATCAACATCCTTCTCTTCCTCCCAAATATCTCCCTCGGTGTTCCATCAAACATAAAACATAGTGATAACACAGCTTTCTAGTCTGTAGATAAATACTGTATAATTCAGGCCTGTAGTGACATATTGCTTCTGTCCTTTGTTCTTTAGATCGATGGCCATCTTTAATCAGGAGAACCAATCCTCGGTGTCTGTCTTCCTGGTGGTTGGTCTGTCTGAAAATTTAGAACCCCAATTTCTCCTTTTCTTATTATTTCTCTCAATCTACCTCATCACGGTGGTTGGGAATATTGTCATTCTAACATTGATTTCCTCTGACAAGCGGCTGCACACCCCCATGTACTTCTTCTTAGCTAACCTTTCCATCATCGATATCATTTTTTCCTCTGTCACTGTCCCCAAGCTTCTTTTCATTCTGGTCACTGCCCACAAGTCCATCTCCTTCTCTGGATGTCTAACCCAGCTCTCGTTCTTCCAGTTCTTTGTAGTGGCGGAGTGTTACCTTCTAGCGGTAATGGCATACGACAGATATGTGGCTATATGTTTCCCACTCAACTATACACTTATCATGAGCAGAGCTGTCCGGTTTGGGCTGGTAGCCATTTGCTGGCTTTGTGGGCTGGTGAACTCAGTGCTACAAGCAATCTCTATCTCCCATCTAGACTTCTGTGGTCCTAATATAGTAGATCATTTTTTCTGTGACGTTACCCCTTTGTTTAAACTGTCTTGTTCCAATACATGGGTTGGTGAAACCCTATTCATGATGGTAGTGGTCCTAGCTGGGATGGGGCCACTTACTTTTATTCTGGTAACATATGGCCGAATCATTTCTGCAATTACAAGGATTAGCTCCAGTCGTGGTAGAATTAAAACCTTCTCCACCTGTGCATCTCATTTTACGGTGGTGTCTTTGTATTATGGAAGTGGGATTTTCAGTTATATTTGGCCAACATCTACCTATGCCATGAACAAAGATGTCAAAGTGGTGGCTGTGCTCTACACGATCATGACTCCCATGTTAAATCCCATCATTTACAGTATGAGAAACAGAGAGGTTAAAGAGGTCCTGAAGAAAGCATTAGGAGTAAAGAGAGTAAATTAGTTGAAATAAGACTTAACGAAACCATATTTTGCACTGCCTACATTAGTGAACTAAATAGTATTTCTCCACCCTTGTCATTGTTGAGGAGTAGATTGCTCTGATTGGGAGAATATTTCACAGATGGTGAGAAGTAAACAATGATAGGGAGGAGAAGTTAGCACTGATAAAATGAAATATTAGCAGTGGGGAGAAGTTTAGTTTTTATGGGTGGAATGAATAGCCCTGACAGGAGAGAGATTATCACAGATATCAAGTGAGGTTAGAACTGGAGAACCCCTGTTAAGGGAGAGATTATTATTATTGATGAGGAGAGGTTAGCACTGATGATGGGAGAGAGTAATATGGATGGGAAGAGGTCATTAGCGGAGTTGCCCTAACGGGGGGATGTAAGTCCTGGAGGAAGAAGTTAGGACTTGGAGGAAGATTAGCACTTAGGTTAGTGTTGTTGAAGAAAAGGTTATCACAGCAGGAGGGGTAGTCCTGAAAGAAGACCTTAGTCCTTGGGAGAGAGGTTAGTGTGGGTGAGGCAAGGTTAATATGGATAGGGAGATGTTAATACGGATTGGGGGAGGTTAGTATAGATGTGGAGAGGTTAGTATGGATGTGGAGAGGTTAAGATAGATGAGCTTAGTATGGATGGTGGGACATTAGTATGGATAAGGGGAGGTTAGTATGGATGGTAGGACATTAGTATGGATGAGGGGAGGTTAGTATGGATGGAGAGAGGTTATTATAGATGTTTGGAGGTTAGTATGGATGGAGAGAGGTTATTATAGATGGGTGGAGGTTAGTATGGATGGTGAGAGGTTAGCATGGATGAGGGGAGGTTCGGCACATTTTGTTTCCTTTATGTTCGATTATTTGTTCAAACTCACCTGGTTTGGTTCCCAAACGAGGATCACCTCAACACCTCATTAGAATATGGAATACAAAGTATCCAGTACGAAAACCACAACGGAAACAATTAATAGAATGCTCCCCTGGGGGGTCACCATTTCATGCAACCGAAAGGACGTGGTCGACAGAATGGATGGCGGCCATTTTGTCTCCCGAACGCAGGCAGTGGTACTTGGTTGCCAAGTGCTTGGAACTGATTTCGACTAGGCACTAGGCACTCCTGCGAACACCGGTGAAGATGGAACGGCTGCTCGTTCAAGTTTCCGACCACCAGTGAGCATTCAACACTTGAAAGCTTTCGTATGTTGTGTGTGGTTTTTGTATAAAATTCCTCGAACTGAGACCAGCCCTTACCACGATTCCTCTGGAACTATTTTGGGCTTACACCTCGTGGTCGGCCAGTCAAAACTTTGCCTCAATGGCAGTTCCAAACTACCGAACAGATCTGAGTGCTTTTTGGATATGTTAAGCATTCAGATCAGAGCCATCCGGATGTGGAGGGGTTTCCATGGGTTTTGGGGTTACTTTTGGGGTGTTGTAAAATTGTTTTATTTATCTGTACCCAGAGATAATTGAGTTTCTACAGTTCCTGACTCAATTATCTCTCAGGCTCAGGGGAGGAGTTTACTGTGTGTATAAATTGTGAGTGCTTGCCTACATTAAACAGATCTACTCCCAGCATTCAGTCTCGACTAATGTGTGGGGGGAAAGGCGATACAGCTATATTTATTTTCAGGAGTATTGGAGCTACGATATTGGGGAAAGGGAATCCGTGGCAGCGATATATTGGCGGTCTGCCACAGTTTGTATGGATGGGGAGAGGGTATTATAGATGTGGGGAGGTTATTTAGGATAGGGAGAGGTTAGTATGGATGTAGAGAGGTTAGTATGGATGGGGGAGGTTAGTATGAATGGTGGGAAGTTAGTATGGATGGTGGAAGTTGGTATGGATGTGTAGAGGTTAGTATCAATGGTGGGAGGTTAGTATAGATGAGGAGAGGTTAGTATGAATGTGTAGAGATTAGTATGGTTGGGGAGAGGTTAGTATGGATGGTGGGAGGTTAGTATGAATGGGGGTGGTATGGATGGGAGTGGTTAGTATGGATGGTGGGAGTTTACTATGGATAGGGGGAGGTTAGTAAGGATAGTGGAAGGTTAGTATGGAAGTGGAGAGGTTAATATGGATCTTGCGAGGTTAGTATAGATGTGGAGAGGTTAGTATGGATGGTGGGAGGTCAGTATAAAAGGGAAGAGGTTAATGTGGCAAACCCTGCAACTAGAACTGATCATTCTGTGTGAATGAAGGACTTTCACCAAGGGAATAACTAACCGAATGGACTTTCTTGTTATATTGCTGTTTTTAGGCGAATGGCCGAAACTACCAAACGTGAGACCACCCCGGGATGGTCGTGTGTTGCTAATTAACGGACCGATACAATGTTGCGAGGGAATTAAGTGCCTGTATGTGTGGCCTCCATTTCGCATACCGAACACGTGTCGGCGGCCATCTTACGCACGAACAGCGGTGCTTGGTTGTCGAACGCCTGGAACTCAAACCGGGCATTCGACTAACCAAGTACCGCTGAGACCTCCAGCATGCTCCGACAGCACGAATCAAACACACGAACGCCCCGGCGTTCGATAGATAGATTTTCCTAAACGAGGGGATTCGTGCAAAGGCTTGCAATCGCATGGATGGCTATGTTATTCGGTATTTTTAATTCACTGAAATAGACCGACCGCAGGGCCAGAATTCATGGAACTGTTTTCGGCTACTGAGTCCCTGCGGTCGGTCAAAACTGTAACTGTCTGTAACTCCCAAACCCCTGATCCGATCTGGGTGAATTTCGAGTATGTTGCTCACCCGGATCAGACATACCAAGGGACCCCTTATTTGTCTCTGTACCCCCTGTATTTAGGGGACATCTAAAAAGTGGGGAAAATTTGTCTTCACTAATCTGTTTAAGGGCTAATCTAAGGGGAGGAGAGTGAGGGGAGGTGACCGGGTTACAATTGGTTACTGTACAAATTATGAAAGTTACCACCCTTGCATGGGAGAAATGCATAAAAGCAGACCTGTGATTAAAGCTATCAGTTGACTCCCAGACTATATGTCGTCTAGTCCTTGGGGAGGTGGATTATGCTGTGTTCCTGTGATTTTGTATGCTGAATCTTTGTTTCCAGCGGAGAGTCCTTGGATTAACCCCTGCTCCTCCGCTACAGTTAATATGGAGGTGGAGAGGTTAGTATGGTTGGGGAGAGGTTAGTATGGATGGTGGGAGGTTAGTATGGATGAGGGGGAGGTTAATAAGGATAGTGGGAGGTTAGTATGGATGGGGGATGTCAGTATGGATGGGGGAAGGTATCATGGATGGTGGCAAGTTAGTATGGATGGTGGGAGGTTAATATGGATTAGGGAGAGGTTAGTATGGATGTGGAGAGGTTAGTATGAATGTGGAGAGGTTAGTATTGTTGGGGAGAGGTTAGTATGGATGGTGGGAGGTTAGTATGAATGAAAGTTTTGCTGTACAGATTTCCATGATCAGACAGCAGACATTTAAATTAATCCCTAGAAAATTTCCCAGATAAAGAGACTGGGAGCCAATAAATATTGTCTACAAAGCTTTGTTAAATCCAATAGGAAAATATTAAATATCACTTAAACACAGCATCATTCATGCAGTCCATGTAGGATCTTACCAACAGATTGTTTAACCATCCATGGCATCACACAACCCGCCATGCTGTATTGTGCTTTCTATTGGGGTTTCATTTGCCCCCATATCCAGTGGAAGACGGAAGTAAGATGAAAAAACTGAAAAAAATAAGAATAATAAGATATTGGGTATAAACACAATTCTAGTATAAAAATTTATTAACTAAACATAATTAAGCCCACATTGCAAATAACATTTTATTACGCTACAACCTGCTGCAACAACTAAAGTAAGTTAATATACACATAGCTCCAGGGCCTGACGGTATTCATCCATGAGTACTTCAGGAACTAACTGTGGAAATAAGTGAACTTTTTTTTTAATCTTTTAAGATTCTTTTCTTTAAGGAAGTGTTCCGGAGGATTGGAGGAAGGCGGATGTGATTCCTATAGTCAAAAAGAGTTCGAAATACTTGCCTGGAAATTATAGGCCTGTGAGCTTAACTTCTGTGGCTGGGAAAGTATTTGAAAGGTTATTAAGGAATACAATTCAAGAATTCCTTTAAAAGAACATGGTTATCAGCAAAAATCAGTATGGTTTTATGAAGCACAGGTCATGTCAAACTAACTTGATTGCATTCTACGAAAAAGTAAGTAGAAGTATAGATCAGGGTGTTGCAGTGGATGTGATCTACTTGGATTTTGCCAAGGCATTTGATACAGTTCCACACAATAGATTAGTGTTAAACTCAAAAAAATCAGTCTAGATGAAAATTCTTGTTCTTGGGTAGAACATTGGATAAAAATTAGAGTAGAAAGAGTTGTCACTAATGGTACATTTTCAAGCTGGACAGAGGTGGTAAGTGGTGTCTCTCAGGGTTCTGATTTGAGACCCCTTCTAATAAAATATTTTTTATCACGGACCACTTGCACTCTGACCGAGTACCTCCGCCAATCGATGCTCCTAGTGCTTGCCGAGGTCTCCAAGCACTCCAACCGACACCATCAGCACTGCAGACCCCACTTCCAGCGATGCAGCTGTGCCGGGGTCTCGCCGTCTCTCACCCACCCTGGATCCAAGGCCAGGATCCAGCTTCCAGTGGGTAGACCTCTCCTATTCCAGAGAGCGTAACAGGAACAAGAACAGCTCTTACAAGAGCTTACCCTGGGGAGTATAGTGTGAATATAGCAATCCCCAGGGTGTAGTTATCCCATCCCCCAAGCATGAGCTAAGGCTTCAAGAAATGGTCAAGTAGTTCTGTTTAATGCAAGCAAGGACTCACAATTTATACAATCCCCCAGGCCAGAGGCACACACCCTGGACCTGATGGTACACTGGCACACAAAGGACACAAACCAATCAAAACAATACAACAATGTCTGACACTCCCATTCATTACAGCAAAATCCTCCCCTCTGCCTGGGATATAATTACTGGACACAATGGGCTAACGTAATTATCACAGGCAGGGAAATATACAGTTTTATACAATATTCATAACTTTAAAAGTATAGATCACATTCACATAAAACTTACATATTCTGAATCAGCATATGCAGTATACAAATGTATGTCAAAATCATACAAATTGGTCCAGTGGTTCAAAAGTTAGATGGAAGTCCTTTTTGAACTACTGCAAGCATGGCTTGGGTGTGGTAAGCCAATTATCTCCAGGTACAGAAAATATCTCTATTCACAACAACAGCAAAAATACACAAAAATACATAATTCCTATCATACTGAACAGAACCCCCACATTCACATTGGACCTGAGCGCTCAATATATCCAAACAGCGCTCAGATCCCACGAACACAGTCAAATCGCCATGGGGTTTAAGTTTAGCAAGGACTGATTTAGAGATTGAGGAGGGACAAAGCAGCCAGTTTAAACTGGTCTGGCAGTGTCCCTGGGACAACGCCCTGCTGGAGAACAATTGGACAGGAAAAGGCACATTATCCAATGGAATCAAAGGTGCAGAATTGTGCCAGTTCCAATTAAAGGGCCAGAACAGTGTTTTAAACACCAATTAGTCCAAATAGTATTTTTAACTGGCAAAGTCTCCCAGGGGCCATAATCACATGGCAAGAGGCTGGCAATTAGTCCTCTCCAGGCACAAGTGGAGAAGGGCACTTCGTCACAGCTTCTAAGACAATCCCGATTTTATATTGTATACTCAATTATTTATATATTTTAAATAGTAGAACTCTTCTTAGCTATATAATATTATGGCTAAGATATCTGTATGGTTAGCCCTGCTAAATTCTATGCTTTAAGATGTTATAATGGTAAATAGGGGAACCGGCTGCGGTTACAACATGTTTATAAATGATCTTGAAGACAGCATTGAAAGTCATGTTTCAGTGTTGGCAGATGACACAAAACTCTGTAAAGTAATACAATGTGAGCAAGATATTACTTTGGTGCAGAGGGATCTAGGTCGATTGGGGGACTGGCCATTCATATGGCAGATGAAATTTAATGTAGAGAAATATAAAGTTATGCACTTTGGCATCAGGAATCCACAAATAACGTATACCCTTAATGGAAGTGAATTAGAGATAACCACACACAAAAAGGACTTGGGAATTGTTATAGACAACAAACTATGCAATAATGTGCAGTGTCAATCAGCAGTGATAACATTATACAAATCTATTCAGGGCCAATACAAACCATTATCTGGAAATCTATTCACAAACTGGACTTTACGTAGGACACGAGGTCATGCGTTTAGACTGGAAGAAAGGAGATTTAGTCTTATGCAAAACAAAGTTTTTTTTACCATAAGAACAATCAGGATGTGGAATTCTCTGCCTGAAGAAGTGGTTTTATCAGAGTCCGTACAGATGTTCAAACAGCAACTAGATGCATACTTGCAAAAACAAAATAATTTTCAAAATAGGGTAAATGCTTTTTGATCCAAGGATTAATTTGACTGCCATTCAAGAGGGAATTGTTTTCCTAGTTTGTTGCAAAATTGGAAGTGCTTCAAACTGGGGTTTTTTGCCTTCTTTTGGATCAAACAGCAAAAACCAAATGTAAGGAAGGCTGAACTTGATGGACACATGTCTCTTTTCAGCCTCTGTAACTATGTAACCATTATTATATTAGTATAACATTTTTTTGAAACATGGGATGCATCACTGACACATAAACATATAATAAAACAATGTTGTGTATAGATTGCTTTCCAGACAAACTTAAAATATAAAAAACTCTGCTTGGCTCCAATGGCCATTCCTTCTCTATCACTTCTTTTAGAACTCATTGTGTATCATTAATTCTACACATTGCTGGGCCGCACTTTAATTTACAGCTTGTGATACAAGTTAGTTCCACATTTACATTCCTGTCTAGCCGCGTAGCACATATCGGTAACGGATAACAACACAGTGATCAAGTGAAGAGTTCTGGTGTAAACCACGTTGGGAATGATGCGGGTTCTGTGTCAGTGTTATAATAATAAGTAATCTGTCTGCAGAGTTATTCAGGAGCAAAGCTCTAAGAGTCGCGCTGTTATGACGGAAACCCATGGAATGTTCCTGCTCAATACTCTACTTTAGAACTTTACACCAGAATTCCTCTTCCTTTGAAAGGCTGGTAGATTGCCCAAGAAATTGCAAGTTTTAGGAGAAAAAAATTCAAACTAGAAAATAGTAGAGTGGAATAGGCAATTTGGCCTACAATCAATTATTTTTAAGAATTCTTGGTTTACATAGTTACATAGCTGAAAAGAGACTTGCGTCCATCAAGTTCAGCCTTCCTCACATATGTTGTTGCTGTTGATCCAAAAGAAGGCAG